ATCGGCCTTCCGATCTGATGTGGCAGCCGGACTTCAGGATCGCTCTGGTGCTTGTCCGGGCTTTACAGGAGTTCAGGCTTGGGATTTACGGTCTGGTCTGGTCTAGTCGTGCTTTTGTTGAGACCGGTAAGCCGCCAAGCCAAGCCGTGGCGGCATGTACCACAAAAGATCGCAAATCTTTGTGCATGGAAAGCAGGGGCTTTGTTTGTCAACCGGAAGGAAAGGTTCGGTTTAAGCTACAAGATATGACTCCGCCACGCGAACCACACTGCCATACAGGTGGTTGCTGTCCTTTTTTTTCGGGTGAGGGGGGAAACGTTTAGAGCTTTTGGTTAGAAGTGGGTTTACGGTTCAGTGTTTGCGGTTTAGCTTGCTACGTTGGGACCTGTCTATCCAGCGAGTTGCTGTAGTATACGGTGGTAAGTGCTTCCGACCCCGGAAGCACCGTCAAACCCCTAAACCCCAAACCTCCAATTGAGGAGATGGGCTTGAACTACAGCCTGGGCCATGCAGTTGCAGACAGCTCGGTGCCCTTTGCACTTACTCAGGAGAGGTCGGGGTTTTGGATTCAGGTCTGTCTTCGGGGGTTCATCAGCAGAAGCACAGCCTCTCTGTGTGTCTCTGTGTGTGTGTGTTTATGTGTTTATTCATGTCTCGACCTGTTTATGTCCGCAGTTGCGTATGTGTGTGTTTGTACATAGGATATGTACACATACATATTTACGTATGTACATAGGTCTGTGTATATATGTATATATATATATATGTATATACATATATACATACATGCCTACACATCTGATATATATATATATCCATGTCTTTCACAAGATTGGCTTGGTGAACGGCATCCAAACATGAGGTCTTAAATATCTTATATGATATCCCGTTCGTTGCCTTTCATGTAACCGGAAACGGGTTGCTAGCAACAACAAGCATCGATCGAATCACAAGCAAGCGAGCGGGTACAGTACGTAATCTAGCGGGTTGATAATGGTCGTTATTGTCATACATCTTGTTCTTGGATGCTGCTGCTGATGTTGTTTTCGTATGTGAAATATTACTTTCCTGAAGTGTTTGTTGAGTGTTGTCTAGCGTCGCTTTCGGTGTGCATTGAATGCAATACTTGTACTTGAAGTTGTATATATTCTATGTTTCTGTGTCTGTTGGTCTTTGTCGATCCTTTGAATTGGCCCAATCTTCCAACTGTAACATCAACTCCAAACCTCCCAGCCCGTTTACATGCACTGTGACTAACAACAGCAGCAAACGACAACAGTAACAGCAATATCAACAATATCAGGAACAATAAAAAAGCGCCGCAATCAGTACAACTAGCAGTAATTCACAATGTTCGTAACGTTTGTGAGCCATATGAACAACCGTAGACTTGAAAAGGCAGTGGCCGTCAGTATGACGACAAACAGTATATTGGCATGTATGCTAATCATAAAGTATCACTAGTCAGTACTCGTTATACTGCGTCCAGTTGTTATCCTTGGCGCGTGTACGTTTGCAGCCTTAGCCTTGTCAGCCGTAACAGCAACTCCAAGTCCCCTTTGTAAGCCCGGGGCTCAACAACACCGACACCAATAACAACAACAAGAACAAGAACAACAACAGCAAAACACAACCGCAGAAACAAATGATGAATATGGTAAAGACGAGTACGAGACGAGAAGGTTCGAAGATTGACAGGTTAGTTTCGTTTGGGCGAGGATGGGGAGGAAGGTCATAGAGATCAGAGGAAGGGGTGGGGTATGATCTATCACAGGCTGTGTCCTCCGTACCTTTGTATGCTATGTTGTCCTGTCAGTCGGACTTTGCCTTCGCGCAGCAACAGCAACAACTCAACAACGAGCAACAAAAACCAATCACAACCACGGAGTCATATGATGGAGGTCATGAAGATGTTGATGATGACATTGAAACGACACACGTTGAATATTGGAGCTTCTGGCGATGATCATTTTCCACTCCTCAATCGCAAGCAGTGTCCCCCTCTTTTTGTTGGTGTTCATGCTCTTGAAACCGTTAATCGCAAGCAGTACCTCCTTATTTGTTCTTGTAGTCTATGTTTCAGTGACAGTCGGACGTCAACCTTCTTCAGCAACAGCAACAGCACAACATCAACAACAAGCACAACAACAACAACGACAACAGCAACAAGAACAACAACAACAACGACAACAAGAGCAAGAGGAGTCATATGATGGGGGTCGAAAAGATGTTGACGATGAGCATGACCCGAGAAAATTTGAAGATGGAGAGGCTCGCTGTTCTTTGGAGGGAGGATGGGAGGTAGAATATACTCACTGAATGAAGGGGAAGGTGTATGATGACGAAGAAGATAGGGTAGGGATCCAAACACTCTCCCCCTCACTGGACTCTGTCTTTCATTCACCACAGCAGCAACAACAGACACAACTGCAATCCATACGCTTAGTAGTTAGTAGGAGTTATCCTCACATCATTGAGACTAATAGTGGCTAAACCAGTACTAGTAACAAGTCACAAGCAAATCAAGCACAAGGAAGCAATATGAACAACTGTAATTATGAACAAAAGGTGCCAGCAACATCATAGCAAACCGTGTCCTATTCGGAATGTTGTTCATAATGTAGCACATACAACATGTACAGTGATAGGGAGAACATGGGCTTACAAAAAGCTTGTGTTTCCAATGCCGGCGCAGGACACGGGATTACAAACAAAAACTTGACTTTCTGAATGTGGAGAAAAACAAGCGTTTACAAACAAACATTCCTTTTTGTTGTTGGAAGACGACAAAGGTTTACCAAAAAGCCGTGCATTTTTTGGTTGTAGGAGGGAGACAATTGTCGGGTTTTTTTTGGGGGGGGGGCGGGGGGGAAGAGGGGACGGGGACAAAGGCAGGGACGGGCAGTGTAGGGGAGAGCAGGGCAGGGCTAGGGTACGATTATTCATGATTAAGAAAATAACGATAAACATTATAAGGCGGGATTCAATTCTTTTAAACATTTGGCACCCAGAAAATCAAAATAATTAAAACACATAAACAGTTAAAGTTGTTTTTTAAAATAAATCCCTGGCATCATCTAGGGATTTCCCCTTTATGCAATTATTAAGTAATGAAGATTTGTCAAATAATTAGAATAATCATGAGTTTAGCTGTTTTCGTTTTTTACAGAAAATGGCGCCCAAATAAACAGAATAGTTAAAAAGTGAAAATAAGCCGGACTTGATTTGGTTCAGTTGTTTTAAAGATTTTTGCTAGCAAATAAATAACATGACAAAAATCGTTTTTGTTCTAACTTGAATGACTATTTTAATCATTTTAACTAGTAATTCGCTGCGATTCTGATTCCGCATAATGAGATACTACTTATTTCAGAAATTTGTGCTCCTAAATATTTAAATGGATATTTAAGATATTTCGAACAGCTGAAATCATTGAAATAATTAAAAGTATAAATCCCAAGATCTGTATTAATTGTTGAGCCAGTTTTCATTATTTTAGATACTACCACCTATATTGACCAAATCTGGTGTTAACATAGACGCTAAAGGGTCCTCTCTCTCGTATATACACATATATATATACACACATATATATATATACACACACACCTCTCTCTATATATATATACACATACATACATACATACATACATACATACATACCTAAACACATATAAATTCACATTCCAACCAGAATAGTCATATTATAACATTTATTGTACACGCACCACGGCATGATGTGACCGTTGAAGGCCTTCGTCATGATGTCATTTTCAGTGAACGCTTAAAAATCACCCGCCTAAATTTCGCGCTGCAGCGGATGTGAGTAGACAAACTCGTACCAGGTTGCTGTTGTGCATGGTTGCTGCTCACGAGGGCTAGTTGAATTGGCCGTCTAACAGGTGCATTCGTAGTGATTCTGGCTGGTCGAGATTCCAATTTCTGATAAATCATTTTATCGCTCAGGGCTGCTAAGTTAGCATGCGATTTGCCGACATTCTTACTGTCGCTCGCTTTGGCTTGCATGCATCAGCTGGCAGACACGAATTGGCAGGTATTCCCTAACTACAACTGTCACAGGGATACCCGGTCCAGATTCTGTGTTCTCACCATCAAACCCCTATCCACCTTAGCTAAACAAAGCTGATGCTCCTCAACTCACGGATCGACCAGAAATCCCGAAAGCCTAAGACCCTACAACATGATTAACTGAAAATCCGCAACTGTAGATCTCAAACCACCAGAGCCACTGCACGCCAACGATGTGTGGGTGGCTTCCATACTATGCCCCAAGTCTTGGATAAGGCCTTCCTCGCAGGGCCCTCGGATCCTTTCTAGGCGTGGGGTTGGTAGAATTCGCCTAAGCCCGAAACCCTCAACCCGACCTTATGCCCGAAGGCCCATGAGAACCAGCACAAGCAGCGCTCGTGAGGCTTCAAGGTTTGCAGCTTGACAGGGCGGGTTTTAAGTCTGAAGGCTTAAGACCTCAGGCCTTTCAAGATTGGGGAAAGGTTTACGGATTCAGGCTTGAAATTTATAGGGCTCTGGGCTTTCGGGTTGGGGTTCAGGGCGTGTGGTGTCCATATATGTCTATCTATCAACATTTGAAGTTTGTCTTCTCCTTTCGCTCCACACGCCTCACCTGATGAGAAGTTCCAGCATTGGATTGGGGGCCGTTGAGGGGTTCAGGATCTTAGTTGAGCCCAGTTCCGTTTGCTGAGCCTTGCTCTGAAAGAAAGCCCCATCACGGCAGATGTTTGAACTCAATCTTGGGCTTACGTTAGATGCAGGTCTGAGATCGGACATTAGCCACATTTAGTCCGAGCTTTCGAAGCATTCAAACTGACATGAAACACTCGAGCATGCTACGGCTGAACCCCTCTGATCCAGACCCTGTCAACTCGAAACCGAATCCCAAAACCAGAGACCTACCTGCTCAGCCGAAGTATCTCTCTGCCTCGCTGACGTGCGCATCCCCAAATCCCTCAACCGCAGCCCAGGACAGCTGCCTCCACAGCCTAACAGCCGCAACTCCAGATTGTGTTTACCGGGGGTGGGGCGGGGGAGGCACTGCTTCTCTGTTTCCGCTACGGCCAGTGTTCACAGGCATCCAACGACGGACAAGCAGCGATCTGTCCCAGCACAATACCCTCGTTATAGCATGTGCATGGGCAGGTTGGCTATTTGTTCTTCTGTCTTTGGTACAACGCCACGGAGAAAAAAGTAATTCGGTATGTCATGTCGGCGTATTAGGCCTTCCCAATTGCCATGCATCTGCCTATAGATAGAGGTATGCATGTTTGTATGTATGTCTGTCCGTAGGTCCGTCCTTGTCTGTCTGTCTGCATGCATGCATGCATGTATGTATGTATGTATGTATGTAGCTGTGTATCTGTGTATGTTTGATCGTATGTGTATTCGTATGTGTATGTGTATGTGTATCTGTGAATCTGTTTTTGTGTTAATATGCGTGTGTACATGGCTGTGACTGTGTGTGTGTGTATGTGCATTTGTATGTGTAGTATGTGTATGTTTTCGTGTTTATCTTTAGACTTGCATAAGTACTCACCTGGATTAAAACTGCGTGTACAACTCAGTTGCAGTCACAGCCATTCCTGCATATAACGAACCTTTGCTTAAGGTCGAAGGGCGCCAGATTGAGTATGCGCTCGTGGGCGAGGACAACTGCACCCGGATTTGCGAAAAGGGGTCTACATGGCTTCGAGTCTTCGAGTATACTATTGTAAGGTATAGGCTTCAGCTTCGCATTCTTCTGTCGCATCAGCCGGAGGTCTGACTCGGATCTGGGCATAACGGGCTGCGCCCGTTTCGAGGGAGCACGACGCACAACTAAATTGGCATGGCAAGGCAACACAACGATGGAGTTTGGGCTTGAAGGTGCACCGGAGCCTACCCATCCAAACCCAAAAAACCCAAAAGCCGATGCAACAAGCCCTTCAATTGGGAAGGTGGATTCCATTTCGCGTATGTGCGGGCTCGAGAGCTGGCGCTATGCTTGGAGTCATGAGGAGTCAAGTCGGTTGTTTTTGTTTGAGGGTTCTGGATGGAGGACCCTAAGTCCCGAAACGCGAAGCATGCCCCGAAGACCCTGAGGCTTCAACTCTTCAACCTGACACATACACCCGTAACACACGAAATGAAGGAAAGTGCGGAGCCTGTCCTCCTCTTCTACCCGCTCGGTGCCAGCCTTGGGCAAGAGACGGCAGCTGGAATTGTTCCTGGTTTCATATGCAAATGCACATGCATGCAAGCACGGTCGCCCTCATTGCAAAAACTGCCGTTGTTTTTTCGCTGCTGCTCCTTCTGGTGCCAAGCAGATCCCTGCGAGCAAACTCCCACCCGTCTTTATTCGCCTCATATGTCATAAGTGCTTGCAACGTTACCCCTGTTCCTTAGAACTCATGTACCGCTGTACTGTATGCCTCAAATCCCTTTGAAGTCAGTTTAAGTCACTGGGACGACAGACTCTCAACGAATTAAGGGCACCCTTAACCCTAAGCCCCTGTGAACCCGCATGAAACTTTCCCATGGAAAGTTGGAGACCGACGAGTTAAACCCGGTCGGTTCTGAACTCCGCCTACTTCTGAGACATGGGGTCAGCCATTGAAGTGTTAGAGACTTTGACTGCAATTGGGTTTTGGTTTAGGATCTCGGTGGTTGGGGTCTAGGGAGTATAGCTCAGGGTTTGTTTCTAGCTTCCACGAACCACACAGTCAGCATGAAATTGCGCGGACGATGGTAATGGACCATAATAGCCCACCTTGATCCGCCCTCCAAAACGGTCGCTGCAGCCGCTGAAATAGGCGCGTGCCGCTTTTTGGCAGCAGTGTTTGCAACTCCCGCTCGTCGTGCTGGAGCCCGGCTAATATGTGCCCCACCTGCAATGCAATTTGGAGTTTAAAGGGCCTGTGGAATGGTATTTTCTTTGTAGGTCACGTTGTTGGGGTAAAGGGCCTTTGTCTGGGAATTTGGGATTGCTGTTCAGAATCCACAGGTTTCCTTCGGTCTCTTGCGAGTCAGCTTGCTTTTGAGAGTGCATCTGTATGTTCGCGGAGATGACCGGCTTTATAGGACTGATGCTACAAACCACAGTGGCAATGGCAATGTATCTATAGTTATTGCTGCTCCCCACATTCAACAAAACAAAAGAAGCGAAACGTCTTCACAGAAAAGCGGAGGAGCATAGGATCATTCTCATGCAGATAGAAGGCGTTGGTGACACGCATGTAACGCCCGGTTTCATTCATTCGGTCTTGGGGTCTAAGGCGAGGGGTGTGAGGCTGCCGCTGAGGGTTTACGGATTTTTTGCTCGGTTGCAACCTACCGCAGTGAAGTAGCCACAATGCGAGGACGGCGGTCAAAATAACAATTCATAGAAACGCCGTAAAGCCTGAACATTCGGACACTCATGTCCAAGTGTATGCCAAGCTCAAAGACGTGAGCCTGGCCCTATACGAAGGAGGTCCAGAAGGTTCAATACGATTCAATACGCCACACAGCATGAAGCCTGAACCAAGAAGGCAAACGCAAAGGCCTCAATCTGAAAGCTCTTCCCAGCCTACAGCCGTTTTCACAGGCTTAAACCGGCCTGGCATGGGCAAGGTGCCGGGGAGGAATTACTCAGAGTGCGTGATGTGGCTACGGTACGCAAGGGCTTAGGAGGTACTACGCGAGTCCATTCACGGATGTACAGTTTCATGGGATGCCGCAGATTTCTGAACAGATCTCAGTGGAAGCCGTTCTGCTGGTTATAGGCTCCATGGAAGTGGGGTGGACATTCCAAGGTGTCGCAGGCCAAGTGTATCAGTATTCGCGAGTCGCAGAGGCTAAGATTTGAGTATTTGCCGGCACGAATACCCAACATGTGCGCATGATTCGTATGATCGAAAAAGGTGCAAACCTGCCTGAGAAGCTTTCTGTTTCGCTTCCTTGGTGGTCTCTTGCCAGTGGAAGTGCCTGATTCTAGAGTCACCAGCCATTGTTATCACGTTCAGTGTCGTGCGGTTTTGAATGTTGCAAGCCTGCCTCTTCCCACAATGCAGCCCTGGGATTGGAAAGTTCAGAGCTGCTCAGCTAGAAGTCGTGTGTTCCGACCCACAACCTCAAGCATTATATACGTCGATTTCCCATCCTTCTTCAGCGACGTGAAGCCCACCGTGTCTTTGCATTTGCATCACTGTCCTCTGCAATCCGCTGTGGGACTTCTGTAGGCCAGACACGTGGCTCGGGGTCTCTCAGGCCCGAGAGAATCCAGCTGGCAGACCAGGAAACCTGGACAATCAATCCATAGACGCTGTAAATCCTCATCAGTTGCATGCTTTCGCCAGCTGGGAGGCCTCGGCAGCCCGGACCGGGAATGTGAGCTTCACCCCCGGCTGTTGGCCTTATGAGTTTGGGCTTTGGTGTGTTTGGGGCTTCGTGGGCACACGGGTCGAGAGTTCAGAACCAAGGGCTCAAGGACATATCCATCCTTGCTGGAGAGGATTGTTGCACATTCGCACCGCACCCAAGGCCCTGTAGACCGTGCTTTATAGTCGGCTCGAGGTGGACCCTGGATCATATCAACGGGTGGCCACTGATGTTTCAATAGTGGTTGAGGCACGTATCAGCCGCATAGTGCAGATTACATTCGGCAGTCCCGAAGCCGACCCTGGCTTCCAGTCACTGGAGGCTGCTCGAAATGGGAAGCCACACATGTTGTCACCACAGCACCTCTTGGTGTTGCCCTGCTGCGAGCCACCGATGCAAGCTTTCTTAGATAGGACAGCAAGGACCTCGGCTTGGTATACATGCTGAGACTATAAGGCGTGGTCCTAGAGTTGCGAGATATCCTTCTACTCGGCATTGAGCTCTCTGTGAGCTTTGTCTTCGGCCTCCTCGACTTTTCTCGCAACCTATTTTGCTGTAAACCATACACCCGATCCGGTGAGAACGTTTGTTTTCGGCACAACCTGTCGATCTCTCGGAGCGGATCTCCATCCTAGAGCCAAAGTGCAACTATGCGAAACCTCAGACCCAGGTGATCACATCGCCGCGCATTGTCAAGATGCGGTGAAATGCCGCAGCCTTATCCCGCAGCCTGGAAGTCCTATAGCCTAAGACCAACAATCTTAGAGCCGAAATGTCCAACGCCGGAAGGCCCGAATCACAACCACCCCAAGCCCGAACACATCCTGGCTTGAGATGACGTGCACTGCAGCACGAGGTCACAAGGAGTTTTCTACATACAGCGACTGAAGAAACCTTGACTGGTGCTACGTCCCTCGTATCTGCACTTCAGTATCTATGATCCGCCATGCATTTAGACGACATAGCAACAGCAAAAGCAACAACATGCCCCTCAATCCTGTAAGACTTGAGGGGAACAGAAAACTCCCCGGCTAATAATGTGGGGGCATGTGTCGCCCGGCCCAACGAGGGTAGAGCAAACTGTGCCAAGTTTCAGACTTTGCCTTTTGATGGAGCGTGCGCTGAATTTCACGAACGATAATGATAAGACTGTGTCGAAATGCTGATCTGCGCATGACCCACATCAAGTATAGGAGTCTCAATGGTTACCGCACTAAAAGTACAGCACTGCAAGGTCCACAGCCGATTTGTTGTGATTCACGCGGCGCCCATCATTCGAGTCTCGCGAGATGCAGAATAGCTGTGGTAGTGCTTCATACGATACCATCAGCCCAAGCTAGAAGATACTTAGTACTGGCATTTGTTTTGAACCCAGGCCTGGACCATTTGGGCTACGAGCGCGCTCGTGTGCGTGGAGCCTATGACGACTCTTCCTGGCGTAGGGTTCGTGAATCGAATTCGATATAAGATTAACATCGGGTGGCAAATCTCTGACAGGTGAAAGAACATTTGGTGAGGTTACAAGGCATGAACACTGCAGGAACATGCAACAGGGCTCCGGATCCAGATTTTGCATTGCCAAGTGTTGAGATTTCGGTGCCTGAGTTACGACACATGACATCTGCGTAGGATCTGAACGGAACGTACAAAAGGAGCAATGCTTTTGTTCCGTGGAGGGTGCAGGAACACATGTCCTGAAAGCTTGCAAGCATCGGTTTGCGTCCTCTCCGAAAGTCGAACATCGAACGGCCGCCGCGGCCATAGCCAAAAGGTGGCCGAGATTTATCCAAAAGAGTACTGCATCTCTTGTGGCAAGGAAGGCTAGTAGGTTCAGGTAAGTTCTCTGTCAGCCATGCCGGGATAAGGCTGTTTCTTTGCGCCGGCGCTCCTTTCGCCTTGGCTTTCCAGGCAGGGTTTAGGGACGGGGATCGGGAGTTTCGGATTCGGGTTCGGTGTTTCGGTTTCGCCGAACTCGGAATCTCGGAATCCCTACACTTTGCACGTTGGCAGTTGCAATTTATGGACCAAATGCGACGCACGCAATCCGAGACGGCCGGAGCTTGCCAGAAATCCTTGACCTTGCGGTGCGCTAAATTCCTTGACTTAATGGGACTTTTTTTTACGTTCGCAGTGTCCCCCCAGATTTTTTGGTTTTCATACGAAGACCAGGCGAATAACTTTTTTTCAGTCTAACACCAGCGACCCTAAACCGTCGTGGTCTAGTAGATGATGTCGGCCGGAATAGAAACAATCCTTGTGTAAACAGAGCATACCATTCATCATACCATTGAACTTGTTTGCAAGCAACTGTTTATACCCTGTACATTTACTCTTCGCCCGGTTCCATTGATGCGGAGCCCGGTTTGAACCCAAACTCCACACCCTTCTGCTCCGTTTTGATGCACACCTCCGGATCACTTCCCCTCCACAGACCCTAAGATCCTGAAGAAGCTCGGATTCCGGCCTTCCGATATTGAAGGAATTGTCGACCGACAGTGACGTTTGGGTCTCTAGGCCTCAGGGTGTTGGTGGTTAGGTTTTCAGGGTGTTGGGTTTTGAGGCTGCCTTGACGCACCCTAGCCCTGGAAGCACCAAATGCTTGAAGCTAGCAACACTGTGAAGGCACGGTATCCGACGCGAACCTTTGGTCGCCTTGCCGTGCGCTCAGGGTACCGTCGAGCTTGTTTGTGCAAGGGACGGTTGCTTTTTGTGCAGTCTGTTGGTTTATCACGTATGCAGCGTTATGGTTACAGATCCTAAGCCTAAGCTTTATGACCGTGAGGATCTGTTGCGAAGTAGAGTTCTCAGCAGGGCGCATGACAGAAAATTAGATCAAGCCTAGATCTAGATGTTGGATCCCGAGTTTCTGGTTTAGTGTCACGGGCCCTCCAGGGTTTCGGGGTTTCTGGGTCGGAAGCTTCGCAGCTCGAGTGCTTGGATGTAACCTTATTGTCATGCAGTTCCATGGGCGCGAAATGAAGTAAACGACCCTGACTGCGTTTTCCTGAATCGGCACGGGAAAGCAGTTTGTGGGCTCCTCAGGCTTTCGTCCTTTTGGGTCGCGGTGTGCAGTTTCGGGTCTAGTAGTTGCCAGGCCTGGAGAGCTCCTAACAGCGACCGAACCAAGTCCTGCATGCTGCAGTCTTCGCGACTGTGTCATTCACCCGCTTCATCCTGCACTAGTAAGGAGTCAGGAGTATGAGCTTTCCTAAGTTGTTCCAAGGTTGGCTGCTCTGCTTGGGTGTCGCCCCTCGACTGCCCGCGGGCGAAGCTCATGTATCGGCTCAGCGCGAGCGGGGGACCTTACCCTCCCTTGAAGATGCATTCTGTGGCCCGTACTTGGGATATGGGGGTACAGGGGTAGTTGTTATACGAAGAAAGAAAGCATCGGTCAAGCGCGGTTCTTTGAAGGTCGATTGTGGCTATAGATACTTGGGAACTGCATTGCTTTGCAATGGCTTTTGCATGCAACCGGTGAATGTTTACGCAGAGCCTGCAAGAAGTCCTTTTCATGCCTCTGCCCCTGGTATTCTGTTGCGCATGTTGGAGCGTCCGAGTCTTGTGTGCAAGCTTTGGGGAGAATCGAAATCTTGGATGCAGGGTCTTGAAGGGACTGAATCACAGCGATTTTGGCTGAGAGCCTGCCAGTACTTCGGGACGAACCAGGAGGTCCAGTTTCCCCCCCTACATACACACCCTTGACACTCGGCTCGTTTGTTTCCTGGATACGCCGATGCATCAATTCCCTTACATCGTGCGACTCCCCTCGACCTACCAATTTACTTCGACAAGGCCTTCCCTCAACGATGCTTGCCACGCTGGCAGACGCTGTCGCCGTGGCCCTGGAGACAGCTTCCAGAACTTGGCCTCAAGCTCTGAGGATTTAAGTCTCACGGGGCTAGGCGAAAACAATTCAAGGGCCTAAACTTCGCAACACTCCAAAACCCTGCCACACATTGCAAACCCTTTCGAAGCCGCACGAACAAGTTGCCATAAATCTAGCTATCCCCGCTCATACACAACTCAAGTGCATCCTCAATCTTGAACATGATGTCTCAAGCCCAGATAGCTGGGAAAGCGCACGTGCCAGAGGCCATCAGTGTTCATAATATCAGAACCCATCAGCTTGAACCTCAGGCCAAGCAAACACACGAAGAGTCCACGTACTCAAAGGTGCCTGTGCGTCTGGGAAGCTGTTAAGAGAATCTCTAATTCTAGAGAATTTCAGGGACGACAAGTCTGATTCGAGACTGGTGCTTCATTAGGCAGTCCGTCACAGTCAGTCCGTCAAAAATCCAACGAACCCCTACAAATCCTAGACTTAAAGCCCACAGCCCGACAAAACAATGGATCACACATCAAAGCAAATCCCAAACAGTAAAATCCTTTAAGGCCGGCTGGACCAGAGCGGTACCTTCTTCGACAACTTTCTCGTCTCTTCCGACGTCTTCCATGCCGGGAAGCTTGGGGTGTGGTCTGGAGCTTCGGGCTTAGGGTCCCCTAATGGTCCAAGGCGTTCGGCTTGTTTTTTTCGTTTGAAGCTTGAAGTTGAGAGGTTTCGCGCCCCTGGATGCATTCTACGGAAGCGACGGTCGCAACACAAGGATCCAGAACGCACCAAGTGTGCTCATAGATTTGTGCAAAGGTGAGAAGGCTTGCATATATTTCGAAGTATTTGCTTGGAAGCCCTGGTACACCCGAAACCCTGAAGCCTTGTCGCTTGAACCCTGAACTCCCACGGTGGCTTTCCAAACGTCCTCAAGCTGAGGCCAAGTAGCACCTCGTCCATGGCCCAGTCTTTGCAGGGACCGCAGGCCCTCGGAGTTTTCGGGTTTGAGGGTTGGGGCATTGAGAGTTTCGGGTTTGCATAGACTTCAAGGGAATGGCACTTCGGACCTGCCATGCAAAGCTGTGAGAATTCCTGGGCCTGACTAGCCATTCACCTGTCACAACGTGTCTTTAACATAACTGAGATCGCGGCTCTCCCAGATCGGCTGACTCGGGCAGGGTCGTCCCACCGTATTCCGGTCCTCTTTCAGGTGTGATTGGAGGTTGTGGTTTGGAGTTTGAGTCGTCAGCCTGAAATCCTCAACTCTGAGGAACGGATGGAGCCTCCGCCAGAGTGCTCTTCATTGAACGCAGGTGGTTCCATTGTCCTTCAATGCTTGTATTGCTTGTGCTCTTGGGGTCGAGGAGTTTGGGCTCGCCAGAACTACTCAAAGCATTCAAGCCTTGCTCAAAGCATTCAAGCCTCGGCCAATGCAAAGCAAGGAACACCACAACCGCGCCATGGATCCATTCAGCGCTGCCGCGAAGATGGTGAAGATGGCAGGCCACCTCATTCAGACCATCATCACGGCTGACGAAGACGCAAACAGGACCGCGGTTGTTCTCAGATCGCTCGGTGCAGAGCTCTTCGGCCTCAGTCTGGCTTTTGATGCCACATTGACGAATCTGGGACGAGCGCGCTGGGACTAGTATTGAACATCATAAAAGTGCCCGCCCTTGGCCCAGACGGCCAAATTCTCGACAACCCTTGCCATTTGGAGGATTGCGAGAACATCACAATTTCCCTCCATGCTGAGTTCGGAGATTGCCGCGGGTTTCTGAAAGCCATGGCAGGCGAAGCCTTCAATCCCGATTCGGGAGGCTTCGCTGTTAAGGTGGACTTTGAAGGCTTCAGCGGAGGAGCCCAAGGTTCGAGCTGGAGAGGTGGCTCGGGTGGCTGGTCTGCAGACAGATGAAAACGAGCCGCTCCAAGGCATGACCATCGAGTTCATGCGGATCTTCGGATACCTCGCAGTACTTGCAAATTCAACCTCGAAATATGCCAGCACTTCGGTCCTGGAATGAGACTGTGCCAGCACCGGCTGCGAAGACTCAGTCAGGCAGATTCTGCCTCAACAGCCGCTTCCCTGCCGTGCTTCTGTTGATGGGAGGCCGGAATTATTCCCATGAACCGTTCTCTTCACTGTCGACGGCTTTCCCGCCACGTTCGATAAAGATTTGCGCCGCGAGCTGGAGAATGGCGGTGTGAATCCCAAACAGTGTAATGAATCAACACCTCATGCTTGTGTCTGCAACCTTGCACCGGTTCATTCGCCCACAAATACTGGAGCAGACGTTCAAAGACCAGCGGTTGGAGCCAGCTGCTGTGGTGAGGATGGTGCATGTGCTTGCGGCTTCCGCGTGGTGGAAGTTGAGGGTAAGCTGCACCTTGCGTTGCTCCGGAAGGGAGCTGCGCTGCTGCAGTGGCACTTGGAAGAAGTCAATCAAAGGACCGGTGGCCTGTAGGAACATGTGTTAACAAGTTTCATTGCAAATGGCAAGGCACAGATGCAGCCCTGCATGCGCAGGGTGTTGATGCTGGAATGTCTTTCCTCGGGGCATACTCCGGTTGATCGCAATCTTTGCCGGAGATTGAGCAGCAATTCTGTCCGCTTCATCCTCGGTCATCCGGAGGAACACCCGAAGCTGTTGAAGCGGCCGCGGCACCCGGCACTGGCAGCAAGAGTGCCAAGAGCCAACTTGAAAAGCTTAGGGAAGTCCCATGCGTGGCATCTCATTTTTCTATGCCCTGCATGGGCTGTACAGGCCATTTCCGCATCGCACGCCCCTGCATGGCAAAGGTGGCTCAATCGTGCAGGAAAATATCAGAGATAGTCATAAGCCAATAGGTCATGAAGGAAACATTCGTTTCACCAGTGGCGTTCTTGCTTGATGACTATGGAAACAACAGCAAGTGTAGTCGCATCTGACCGGGCCATCCGCATAACGCACTCATCGCTTCAATGTGTTCCAAGGATGCAAAGAGTTGCAGGACTGAACAGTGCGAGAAGCATGCCATAGTATCTTCCATGAGCTCACGGTTCATGTCCAGAGAGCTCATTCCTCCCAAATCCCAAATCTCGGGCCAGCACTAAGGTCCGTACTTCTGAGCACATCTCTCCAGACCATGAACATGCGCGCACAAAGTCGCACAATAGAAGCGCAGATAGACTTTAGTTTTTGTGCACATCACCCGAAGGGGGCTGTGCTCATGATGCGCACTGCCTGGCTACAGGGCGACTGATGCTTGTATTGCTTGTGCTCTTAGCCTTTAATGCAGCTGGGAACTGGCATCTGATGCTCATGTGATGCGCGCGGTCTGGTTTGATACTTCTGGGACAGGGCGATTGATGCTTGTATTACTTGTGCTCCCTGCCTTCAATGCACCAGGGAAATGGCAGCTGATGCTCATGATGCGCTTGGTCTGGTCTGATACTTCTGGGACAGGGCGATTGATGCTTGTATTGCTTGTGGTCTAGCCTTTAAAGCAGCTGGGAAATGGCACTCATGATGCGCACGGTCTGGTTTGA